CCGCTCCCTGTCCCTGACTCGTCCCAACCCCTCTCCACACCCCTGACCAGCCCCCCCGAACTCCCGACCCACTCCAACCCCCCCCCCCACTCCCCTGTCCCCCTGACTTGCCCCCCCCTTCTCCAACTCCCCGGCCCCCTTACCGTGCCACTCGGCTTAGAGCAGGTGTCTGGCTCCGCGTCCCAAGGAGCGCCCCGCCCGAGCGCTGCCGAGCGGCGTGCTGAGGCTGTGGAGGAGGAGAGAAGCGGGGGAGGGGCTCTGGACGCTGCTGCCAGCCCCGCCGACGCGTTCCCTCACAGGCGCACAGCCACGCCCCCCAGCGCTGCCAGGCGGCGTGCTAAGGCTGCAGGGGATGGGGGGAGCCGGAAAGGGGCTTTGGCTGTCGAGGCCCCAATGCGAGCGGCGCTTGGCCGCCCTGTCAGCCGCTTTTTGATCAATAAATAGCCGACCAGGGGGAAATCCCGGACATTTTTAGATTTTTAGAAATCCCCCCCGGACGGCTATTTAAAGAGCGAAAAGCCGGACATGTCCGGGGAAATCCGGACGTATGGTAGCCCTAGATCTAGCCCTATGGCAGGGTAGTAGTGAGGTTGTGACTCACACACGACTGGTTGTGTGGGTCACTATTGCTTTGGCAGGGCCAGCTCTAGGTTTTTTGCCGCCCCAAGCTCAGGTGGGGCTGGGGCTCGCAGGCGGCGCTGGAAGCGGAGGGAGTGATGTCACCTTCTCTCAGCGCCTGCTTTACCCCCTCCCCCGCCCAGCCGCACAGAGAAGCCCCGATATAAGGGGTGGCACAAGGCAGCGCAGCAGCCAGTGCGCAAATGAGGCGGCGCAGCCCCGGCTCCCCGGCAGCAGGACTCACCCTCTCCTCCCCAGGTAGCGGCTGGGCCCTGGCAGCTCAGCATCTCGGGGCTGGGGCTTCCCCTTCCCACTGTGGCCAGGGGCGCGGTGCCCTCGTCTCATCTAAGTGGCGCAGCTCCAAGAGCACAACTGCCCAGGAAAAAAAAGGATGGCTGGAATGCCGCCCCTGGAAATGTGCCGCCCCAAGCACGTGCTGCTTTTCTGGTGCCTAGAGCCCGTCCTGGCCTTTGACCTGTGTTGCATTTGCCCCTAGTTAATTTCAGTGAAACACACCCTTGTTCTTGCATCACAGGCAGGGGAAACCGACGCTCCCAATCTCTCTTTCCAACAGGCCCCTGCCCTCTCTAAGGGTTATTCGCAGCACAGTGCTACAGAGCAGGACCTGGGCCTAGTACTTAGTTATGGGGCTGGTTGTAGAAATGGCTGGGGGCAGTCTGGCTTGGGTGATAAATAGAGGATGTTTCTTCTAATGATGGCCCTTCTGGTTCGGTGTCTGTTCATCTATAATCCTAGGGGACCTCACTCAGCCCCCATGTGGACAGTTTTAGATGCTCAATAGCGCCACACTGTGCCATAAGTACCCCTGTCCCCTATTGTTGTCCCACCAGAGGCGACCTCCAGAGCAGTGGTATAGAAGAAAGAGATTCAGAACAATCACAGAGTGGGTGGACCCTCAACTTCCTGTCTGTCTAGACGCTGTTGGGAGCAGGACAGGAACAGCTCACAATTACTCCATTCATGGCCTCTCCCAGCAGGGGGCAGTGTCAGGAGAAGCAAAGGAGCACTAGCTGTACAGGGAGCTCCTTCCTGGCTATTCCAGGGGCTGACTCTCGCGGTGAGGAGCAATGGCAGCAGGTGGGAGCTCTGGGCTATGCCAGTCTGGGATACTCCTGCAGGAAACACTGTGGAGAGGAGAGCTGGCTGAGGAGCTCCCAGCCTCTCCTGCCACCAGGGGGTGCTGTAGGGTGTGAAGCAGGAGCTCTGACTGGGGGAACTTCTGGCTACTCCAGCCCTGGCCTTTACAGGGGGCACTGTAAAGAGCATAGCAGGGAATAGCAGAGTCCCGGGATGGCGCCTGTTATATCTCATGACATACAGATAGAGAAGGTGAAGAAAACACAAAATATTCCTGCGGGAAGATTGAAACATAAGGCTACTTTATTTCTGAGAAATCAGAATGAAAACACACACAAACCCAACAACAGAGAGAGACAAAGCAGGCTGCTCCTTAAAAAAAACAGAATGATTCAATTCACCTCACGTTGCAGTAGGCTGACTAGCTGCAAACCAACTCTGCTCAAACGCATGCAGGCTTTACTATAGAGCCCCTTAACCTGCAAGCAGAACCAGGAACCCTTACTCAGCCTTTAAAGTGATAGCATGCAATTCCAGCATAGGCCTCAATACAGCTCATAGTAGGGCTACCCTCCTGGGGTCCCATTGCTAGGGAACTCCCATAGCCAAGTGATGGGGAAATTCCCCCTGGGGCCTGCTTGGGCAAGAGCACCTCCCTTCCCCCCAAAAGCCTGACTCCTCTATGAGATTGGGGAGCAGGTCAGCCAGGCCTTGAGGAGGGGCAGCGTGGAGGGGCTTCCAGCACCATTAAAAAGGTAAGAGCACACAAGTTGGATTAGAGGTGAGGGACGAGCCATCACTGCTGGGGAAGAGTCTGGCTGCTCCAGTCCATCAGCATATCCAGCAGCTCTCATTGGCTTCCTTTCTCTAGGCAGCCAGGGAAAGGCAGCATCCCAATAGCATGGACTGGGGTGACAGACTGTGGGATAAATGGGGACTGGGCACCTGTGGAATGAATACAAGGAAATGCCTATGTTTGGGGTAGGGACAGGTGTTGTCCATATGCAAATTTATGTAAATGTATTCAAATTGCTGGCAGGGGCACACTAGGAGGTGCTTTTCTTTAAGCCCCAGCTCCCAGAGCCCTGGGATGATGGGCCAATCACAGCCTTCCTTTCTGCACTGGTGGTGGAGAGATGCTGGGAAACGACTCCCCTGCCAGGGGCAAAGCAAGGTCCCACACGTGCTAGTTCTCAAACCTCACGAGGGCCTTAGCTGAACTCATACTGTGGGGCCTGGCCTATGGTGGCCGAGCCTGGGCCAGGAGGCAGTGACCTGCTTCCAGCAGAGGAGCTCAGAACTGAAACTACAGCTGAGGATATCCAGGGCCTTAAACCACTAACCTGGGCCCCATGGGGGGGCTACCAGACTTGTCTCAAGGGGGCAGAGGCCAATTCCACAGATCTGGATTCCCCAATAATGTAACTTCTTGGTGCTGGAACAGAGATAGCATCCCCTAGTGGGGAACAGCCCCATGTCCCATTCCCCACACTGGAGCCAGCCCGTCCTCCCACCCTAGGGTCAGATCAGAGCCAGCACCCCCTGGAGGAGAAGACCCCAAGAAGGCAGAGCCCCACACAGAGATTTTGAAGTACCTTTTATTTCTACAGCAACACTGATAAATCCAGAGCAAACTCAGCAGGTGCCCCACCCCCCAATGGGTTCCCCAAGAGGGGAACAGGCAGGTGGGTGAAGCAGTGAAGGCTCAGGGGACCCCGGGGAGGGGAGGATGAGGAGGGACCCGAGCTAGGCCCCTCACAGGATAGGGGGAGATTTTCCATAGCAGCCTCTCCCCCCTCCCCCCCCGACTCCCCTCAGAGGGCAGTAACAGTGCCCCCTGCCCGCTCTGAGGCACAGCAGTGGTTGGGGACTATGCCTGTGTTCAATGGCAGAGTATAGAGGTGTGACAGGCTGGGGAGGGAAATGAATTGTGTGACACCGACATCACCATTCCCGTCCCCCCAGGCCTCAGAGGGGCTAGTGTTTTCCAGTGTAAGGCTCAGGCTCTATCTAGAAGGAAATGAGACACCCCCCACCAGCAGCGGAGTTAGTGTTGAAGAGCCAGGGGGGAGTGGGGCGGGGTCACCAGCTTGCACCAGGACCATGCAAACCAGGGGGGACAGTAGTGACAACACATGCGCCAGCCTCCTTCAGCAAGGAGGGCTTGCCCCCTGCTATGGGGCAGGGAGGATTCTGGGTAGGTGGAGGGTGCAGAGAAGGTGGGGGAAGACAGCTCACAGGAGCTAGATACCGAGCAACAGCAGCTTCTGCATCTGAACGGACAAAGGGGGAGGGATTTCCCAGCCGGTCTGGGGGCAGCATGGGGCAAAGGGGGGGCTCCCCGCCAGAGGGGACTCCCTGAGAACAAAACATAAATACAAAGGAAAACGACCCAGTAGTGAGGGGGGCAGCTGTAACTCACCTCCTGCTCCCCTTCTCCAACCCAGCAGCAGAGTTCCAGAGGTTTCCTCCTGAACGTCCCCCCCCACACCTCCCCACCAGCACCACCCAGCCCCACAGACGAGTCTCCCCAGCCCAGCCCAGCATCACATCCCTAGCCCGAGGGGTGACGGCAGCTCAGGGCATCTAAGGGCAGCTAAGGGGGTGGAGCTGG